GATGCTGACTGTTAATATTGTTTTGCTTACTTAGTACTAGAGGACAAAGGAAACAGTGTGAGAAGATAGTTAATGATTTTGGCCAAAAAGTGTAATACTTTTTTGATCTTAAAGCAACCTGACCGTTGAACATCTTATTGAAGACTGACCTCTATTAGCTGATTGATGCAAGTTCTTTTAGTTTTTGGATATGGTATAATTCTTATTCAAATAAATTTTGTTCATAACCTTTCCTCTTGACCTATGATTTTCATATTACAGGGAAGCGCAAGGGCACAAGAGAAGCTAGGCTTCTGACTAAGGTACTTTGGACGCAAGTTCTCAGGCTAAGATATATATATATATATATATATATATATCTTGAATCTATTCCAGTCACTTAAATTGGATTGATAGGTGTCTAAATTGATTTTGATACATGATCTATATCAGATTTTGATCTTAGTAATTTTTTATTTTATTAAACTATGTTATAGTAATTTTATTAAATGATGGCAATAGGCTTTGAAAATTGAAAAAAAAAAGACTCTTGTTTTATTGACTCTAATTTTTTGCAGATACTGCATATGGTAACCATTTCCGACAAGGACGAGATTAAATTGAGTAAAAATAGTTTTTTATGAAGTGACAAATAATAATAATCCCAAGTGAGGTTTGCAAATAAGTGAGTGTTTGATAATCATCTTTTTGTTAATGCCTAGATTATAAATAGAAAAAGAATGACTAATTAGTTGCATGGAGTGATAGTAAGGATGATTTGTTTATCAACTTTTCCAACGTCACCAACAAAACACAAATAAAGCATTTTAGTTTTATATTTTTTCTAAAAAATAGATTTATAAATGAATAGTTTAGATATATTGAAATAAAATTTAGATAGTAAAATAGGGATCATAAATAGTAATAAAATATTATAATCGTTCCCTTAGATATGTGTTTTTGGGCCGGTTTGCTGAATCGACGGGTCGACCCGACCCATTTGTGGATCCCTAAATCGGCCATTCAAAACCCCATCCAAAAACCCTCATGTCGTCCTTCCATAAGTTAATCCGCGTCGGAAGAGCTCTCTCCTTCGATCGCTCATGGCGGTCGTGGGGGAGGTTGGCGGATCCAAGAAGAGGAAGCGTGAGCCCTCAGCGGCGAAGGGAGGGGGGAAGCCCAAGTTGATGCAGCTTAAGAACGCTGTCTCGAAGCCGGCGAAGCTCAAAACGCAAGGCTTCAAGAAGCCGTCCAAGGCGTTCGAGTTAAAATCGGGAAAGCCCACCAAGGCCGGCGATGAGGCCACTGTACAGGCGAAGAAGGAGCCTAAGACCTCAAGGGAGAGGCGCTTGGCTGCCAAGGTTTGCTGCACTGCCATCATCTGCTTGCCTGATTTTGTTTGAGGCTTTTGGGTTTCTTTGTAGTACGGTTAGAAGTTTGCTGAATGATTCATTTTTTTCTCGGTCTTTGTTTTTTATAAGATTGAATCAGATTGAGTAATCTTTGTATTTAATTGATTATTTATTTGATTTAGAGACTATTTTCTTGAACTTTTTGTAAGAGTACTGATGAACGAGATCTTCTCCTATTCCTCAATTCGATTGGCCTTACTGAATATTCTTGGAATTTAATTGTCGTTGACATAGACCCTTCATTTGCTTGGTTCCTTTGGTGTAACAGAAGGCTGGCAGACGAGAAAACTTGTATACTTGCATACTTTAATTTCTGTATGTCGCTCTCTATATTGTTTTAAGATGGAGTGTAATCCCTAAAGGTTAATTGTCGTGGAGAGGATTCTAATCCTCATGGGGAACATGCATTATTAATCTAATATTTAAAATGCTACATTTAGTTTAATTTGCATTTCAACTGTGATGTCTGAGAACGTTCCCAGATTTTTGATACCGTTTGGTTTGTTCAGGAAATGGCAGAAACAAGGAAGAAGAAGAGGAAACCAAATTACAACCTTGAGAAAGTAAGCTTGATTTTAACTGCACAAAGATTTTCTCTTCCTTTATTATACTACAGCTTCTGTTGAGTTGCCTAATGATTACATGATTTGTTCGAACAATGTCTTATTTGAATGGTTCTTGGAATCACTTTTTTGGTTGTTGTTGTTTTTCTTGTGTTTGTAGGTGTAAATAGCATAATCAAAACAAATAGTTTGACCCACTTGTTCTGTTTGTGTCATAGTTCCAGCCGGATTTAGTAGCCTCAATTGTTTGGTTGAATTTTGTTTACTGTGTCTCGTGGCATGTGCAATGTTAGCAAGGTGATGGTTTAGGGACATGATGCTGTGCCTGGATTTTTGTCGGCATATTAAATCTCTCGTGTGATAGACAAGCACATGTTCTATAATAAGACACACATTGACGTTTGATTTATGTGTCACAGTTCATTTAGGCTTATGATGTGCTACACTTAGGTTGAAATTGAGGGTGTAGTTATTTTTGGTATAAGAAGGGATAACATGGAAATGAAGGCAACCAACCATGTTTCCAGAAACTTAGGAATAGGGCAAAAGAAGAAGACCAAGAAGTATGTCAGTGGACACTGTCTTGAAAACCAAGGATTTTCCTTTTATGGAGAAAGGGTTTGCTGAATGAAGTTGGTCTTTGCTGGTTGGTAAGTCCATGCACAACATGTGGTAATTGACATGACAATCCTTGGTGAAAACTTAATGCTAATACGCTACTGTACTAATCTCTTGGGAG